CAGAGGCGCCAAGTGGTTTGCCTGAGCTCACACAGCACATTAGTGGCATAGCCAAGTTTGGAAGCCAGGTGCTCAGGGCCCCAAATCTACTGGTTGCTTTTATGCCCAGGCTGCCTCTTTAAGCCTTAAAGGGCCCCTCCCTCTTTCTTCCCTGCCAGGGCCCTGCAAATGTCTGCAGAGGCTTTGACATCCCCAGGAACTGTGACAACCCTGTTCCGCTAATCCTGGCTCCTTTCTGTCCTGCCAGCCCCCTGGCCCCTGCAAAAGCGTACCTCCCAGGGCCACTTTGGTGACACCCTCAACCCTGTTAGGGGCCTGAGAACCAGAGTCCTGAGCTGGCAGTCGGGACAGGAAACTGATCTGTCACTGACGGGCTGTCGCCCTTGGGCGAACTGCCGAACCTTCCTGGACCTTGGCTTCCTCTGCATAAGATGCCTGCGTTGGGGACGGCCACCCCCAAGGGCCCCTCCTGACACTAACTCTGTGAAACTGACCAGTGGGCGCCGTCCTTCACAATAAGCACCTCTGAATGACTTCCCCAGCCACGCACCGTAAATTCAAACGCTAAATTCTTTTCCAGAATCAGAAGCCCTGGGCGGGCGGTGCTGCTTAAGGGAGGGAGGAGATCTGCGTGTGACGTGAACAGGAGGGCACAGGGGAGGCACCTGCCATTCTTGGGGACAAAGTCAGGTGGGGGGTGGTGAGTGATGGACAAAGACTCATCACAGAGTTCAAAGACATGATGTACAGGGCTGGGTATACAGTTGGTGCCTAATGAAGGGAGAGTTATTGTCATTACGTAGCTGAGCCCCAGCGGAACACTGAGCTCTTCGTTCACTTACCCGGACAAACACCAGTTCGGTTTTTGGTTGGAACAGGGGTTCTCGAGCTCGAGTGCATCAGAATCTTCTGGAAGGCTCAAAACACAGACTGGGTGGGCCGGGGGCCCCCGAGTGTCTGATTCAGTAAGTGTGGGGCGGGGCCCGGGAATTGGCACCTCTAGCAGGCTGTCAGGTGATGTCCACCCAGTGGTCCAGAGAATGCGCTTTGAATGTGACAAAGGAGACAGACCGCCCAGCGCTTTGGAGGACATTGAGTCAGTGAACATTCCCAAACGTGTTGTGTGTCGTGAAGGGGGCGGTGCAGTGCACCATGGGAGCTCAGAGCAGGGGCTTCTCCAAAGAGTGGCGGGGGGCAGGGGGGGGTCATGCTAAGACCTGAAGGCCGAGCAGAGCTGGCCCGGCAAGCAGAAGACGGGGCAAAGTTTTGTTACACGCTTACTTAGAATGTTCCAGGCCCTCTCTTGCGTCACGCATCTGTCTGTCCCAGTCCATGTCAGGGAGACAAGATGAACCCCCATTTTACAGACGGGAGAGCTGAGGCTAGCAGAGGCAAAGGGCTGGCCTGAGAATTCACGGCAAGAAAGCGGCCCAGGTCTGTGCACGTGTAGGGCACCCGCCGGCTGCCACGGCCCCTCTGCAGCTCCTGCCTGCACCCCCCCCCGCCACCCCCCCAGGGGGAGCCGCCACCTGGGCTCAGCTGCAGCGCCCGGCCACCGCAGTCTGTCCACTCCCCCCGCCCGGGGCCCTTCAAGTGTTTTCACTGCTGGGTGAATTCAGCAGATGCCTTTCGATCGCAGCCTATTAAATTAGCCCCTCTCTGCAGCCAAAAGAAGATAATTATGTTTTCATTAGCCCTGGATAATGTATTACCCCTCGGTGGCAGCCATGTCCGTGAGGTGAGCCTCCCGCTTCCCGCTCCTCCTCTGGGCTCCGCCAGAGCGCCCTGCTCCCCTGGGGTCCACCTCTCAACTGAGGCGTGGGGACCAGCCAGGGTCCAGGGTGGCGGGGAGGGGGCAAAAGGGACACCTCTTTACCTAGCCACCATCCACGCAGGGGCGAGGGGCGTGGTCCAGAGAGAAGATGCAAGAATAGTTGTGACCATGGGCCATTTACTACTCTCTACTGATGCCTGGGACGCGTCTCGGGTGGCTTCATCCCACAGCGGTCCAGGAGAAGGGTGGCCTTACCGGCCTCATCTGCCCCCAACACCAAAGGGGCCCTGCTGGAATCAGGTTGCTGAGACTGCCCAGAGCAGCCTCCAAGACACCACATCCAAGGAACATTTTAGGGACTGTCACTGTGCCTCATCCCAGGGCCACTTGGTTGATGGTACACGTCTCTTTTACCTCCAGTTGTTGGGGCTCTCCGGAGACACTGCCCAGCAGTGGTGTGGTGGGGTCCCCAAACACCAGGAGCCGCTCCCCAGACCCCAGCCATTGCCCGGACGGCTCCGACATCGTCACTGTCCCTCTGTCTCCCCAAGTCCGCGGCGGGGACGCAGGCAGAGCCCTGCGTTTGGGGTCAGTAGGACTGGAGTTCTAGTATCTACTGCTGTTAACGAGGTGACCTGGAGCACGTCACTTTGCCCCCAGAGCCTCCGTTTTCCCCTCTGTAAAATGGGAGCAAGAAAGGGAGTCACCGCTTACCGTTTTTATGAAGATTCGATGAGCTATACCCATAAAATACTTGGCCTAAAAACCAACAAAATGAGAAGTGCTAAATGATGGCCATTGTTTTTTCTACTACCACAACTAATATTTCACTAGTTCCCCTTAACCCTACAGAAACAATCACAGAGAGAGAGAAGAGAAGTCTCTGTCTCCCTCTCTCTGCCAGTCTCTCTGTGCATCTCTCTCTCTCTGTCTGTCACACACACACACAGAGGACCCCTTGTGGTGACTGGCTCCACTTCTACCCTCAGAGGTTCTATCTCCCCGATCTGTCTCGAGAGCTACATCACCGTGCTTTGCTCGTAACTGCACCAGGACACCTGGTGTGAGTGGTGTGAGCACACAATTGGCAGAAACAGGATTTCTGTCGCCCTGTCCCCACACCCAGGCCAACTCTGCCTTCTGCAGGCACAGCCAGCCTCGGCCCCGACCGCACCCGGTCTCCTGGCTGCGCATCCTCTGCAAACCACGCGTCTCCCCCATTTCCAAGCAGCCCAGGGCTCCGGGAGAGGAGGGGCCCCTACTTTGAGCCTCTCGTGGCCCCGAGCCACACCCGGGCAGGCGCGGACTCTGCGTTGAGCAGGTGAACCGCCAGCCCGGTGGAAGAGCAGCTTCCCTTCCCCTGGCTTCCTGATTTTTCCCCAGTTGCCATGGTAATTGAGGGAGCAGTGTTCTGAGACTTGACACCACTGAAACCCAGCGCTCAACTTTGAGACGGCTCAGGCAGGGAGAGCGGGGCCCTGGACAGGAGGGGCCGGCCAGGCTGCAAACGCGGGGCTCCAGCCTGGCTTTCCCGGGACAGGCTGCTGTTCTTCTCCCGCCCCCATCATCCTCACCGTTAGGGCGGGCTGCCGTTTCCTGAGCATTTACTACGCGGCAGGCACGATGCCGAGAGTTTCCCCGGCATCGTCTCACTGCGTGGACCCCTACAACCGCCCCAGGCCCACGTCGCCACCAAGGAAACAGCCTCGCGCCTCGCAGTCCGGAAGTGGCAGAGCCCCAGGGCTGGAGGAATTTCTCGTGTCCTTCCAGGGTGTTGAAGACAACATAGAGCTCCTCGCAGCCCTGTCGCGCCCTGTCAGCTTCTTCTTTATTCCTTCCTTCCCTCCTCATCCCCCACACCCCTCATCCTGCCCCCAAAGTCACAGCCCCCCTCCCCTGCTCCATGTGCAAGACAATCTGAAAAGCATTTATTAGTGACAAAGGGGCGGTGCTTTTCCTCTGCCTCTTCTCTGCACAACTCCGTGCCCCGGGGAGGAGGAAAGATCAAGTCACCCAGAGCCAGGTGCCAAGTGTGTGCGTGCACGCGTGTGTCTGAAGCCTCCTCTCTTTTCTCGAATGTCCCCGCTGCTTCCCCAAGACTGTGTGAGCAGCAGCAGCAACTGTGAGATGCAAAAGCCTTTGCAATCTGCCCAGGAAAAGACAGCTTTCGAGACGGGTTTATATGGTTACCCATATGTTAGGGCCCCTAAGAAAGGAAGGGAAGCTGCTTTCTTTGCATCTTCCCCTCCCCCCGGCCCCCAGACCTTGGCCTCTCCACACCTGCGGGTCTCCCTGGCCACAGGTGAACGTGTGGCTTCTATCTTTCCCCTTCCCAGCTGCCAGGCCTCAGCGCTGCTCCAGAAAAGACCAGAACCAGGCAACCTTTCCACAGCAGGCTGCCTTGCTCCCTGCTTGCCCTCCCCAAGCGCCGGGGCCAGAACCCGGCTGCCACCTCCTCTGGCTCCCGGGGCCTTCCAGCTCTGCCCGGCCAGGGGCTGCGCTGTCCCCTGTCCCATTAAGGAATGCCATCCCAACACTGATGTGGGGACAGAAATAGCCAGCCCTGCCTCCCATGGGGCCTTCTCTGCCCAAATGGCCCTGCCCTCCCCTGCCTGGCTACTATGTCCAGCCCTCTCCAGGCGCCCAGAAATTGTCATTTTGTGTGTGTGTGCGCGTGTGTGTGTGTTTCCTGATAGAAAAAAAAAATGGAAATTAGGTTATATAAAAGATGTATGCTTCGGAGCCCAGAGCGGCTCTTTTAATGAGGGTTGCGACGTCTCCCTCCCCACACCCATAGACCAGGCGGGTTGGACGTCACCGTTAATTCGTTTCGGCGATGATAGGATAAAGGAGGGACATTAAGAAATAAATTTCCCCTCACGACCCTCGCTGAGCTCACGGCTCGGTCCCTACATATTTATGCCGCGTTTGCAGGCTCCGGGCGAGCAGCTACTTAGCGCCGCGGCTCCTCCGAGGGGCGCCGGGCGGCGAGCGGCGGCCGAGCGGACGGGGTGAGCCAGGGGCGCGCGCGGGGCGCCCGGCTCTGCGCCGGGGAAGCCCGCAGCCTCCGTCCCCAACTTGGGTTCGCTGGGGCGGAGGGAGGGACGGGAGCGGAGGGGAGGGGAGAAGGGAGGAGTGGGGGCCAGGCGAGAGGGGGTGGGGAGGGATCTTGGAGGCACAAAGCGGAGGGGCAGGGGAGGGACGCGCGCGGCTCCTACCCGGAGGTGAGTGGGTGCCACTGGCGCCCTGCAGCCGCGCGCGGGGCGGCGGACCGGCGGATTCGGAACCGGAGCGCGGCGGCCGCGGGCGCCCGGGAGGAGGAGGAGGAGGAGGAGGAGGAGGAGTAGGAGGCGGGCGGGCGCAGCGCGGAGAGGCAGCCTGGCGCTGCCCGGCCCGGCGGCAGGTGAGTTCCCGGCCCAGGCGTCCGGCGCCCCCTGGCCGGCTGGCCCCAGGGCTGCCCGCTCCCGCCGAGACCCCGGTGCGCGCAGGAGGCGCGCGGGCTTTGCTGCGCGTCCCAACTTGGTTCGGGGGCCTCGTCCTCCTCCCAGCGGGCGGCCCCAGGGCCGGGGTCTCTGCGGCCGGGGTCGACGCACCCGCCGCGCTCTAACTTTGCAGGGACCCGAGTCCCCGGCAGCCGCGCGCGCCTCCGAGCTGCGCGCTTACGGTAATGGCGGACCCTTTGGCACCGCTCGCCACCCCCAGCGGGCGGCCCGAGGCTGGGGGACGCCCGTCCCTGGGGACCTTTGCACCTGCCCAACCTCCACTTGAAGCTTCCCTCCGTGCCCGGCTCTTTGGCCGGATCGCAACTGCCAGCCGGCGGTAATGGCGGCCCCTAGGGCGCTGCCAGCCACCCGCGGCGGGGGGCCCGGGCTGGCAGGGCTCAGCTCCCGGGAACGGCGCTCCTGCCTGGCTTCCAACTTTGCGAGGATCCTCGCTGCCTCGCGCTCCCGCGGTAATGGCGGGGCCGCCTGCGCCTCTTACTTCTTCAGCCCGGGCGGCATTGGGGCGCGAGTGGAAGAGCGCGGTCTGCAGAACGTGGGAAAGTTGTGCCTCTCCCGCGGAGGAAGCGCTAGGGCTCCGGGTGCGTCCCCCGGGCGGCGGGCGGGCAGGGACGCGCTCGCAGCGGGTCAGGGCCGGGCAGCGCCCCGCGCGCTCAGTGGGGTTGCTTCCGCGTGGCCAGGGGCCGGAGCGGGGTCTCCGGGAGATCTAACTTCCAGGGCCACCGCGGGGCCGTGGACCCGAGGGTCCGGACGGGGCTCTCCCAGGACTGCGCCTGGAGGGCGCGCGGTGCTCGCCCCCGTCTCCAGGGCCCGTGGCGGGAGGGCTCCTGGGTCTCCGCGCAGCGCGGGGCTGGCAGGGCTGGGCACCCGGAGACAGAGACTGGGCGGCAGTGGAGGAGGGCAGGAACCTTTCCAGTGAATCCCCGGGTGCCAGTACCAGAGCCACCCTTTACTCGCTGCGTGACCTTAGGTAAGTCCCTTCATCTCTCTAAGCCTTGGTTTTCTCGTCTGTAAAATGGAGAAACAATGCCTTTCTTGCGAGGCTGTCAGGAGAACCTTTAGAAGGAATCATAAATGCGAATATGAAGTCCAGGGCAAGTGCTGGGTACGCGGGAAACGTTGTGATATTTTATTATTGTCACGCTCTGGGGACGCGGGAGACTGGCGGGTCTCGGTTCCCGCTAGTGGGAACGGGGTCTGCCTCTCAGGGTTCCAAAGGCTGCGGAAGGTTGCGCTCGCCTCCATCTCCGCCCCAGACGCGCTGGGTTCGTTCCGCACAGGAGACCCCGCCACCCCAGAGCCCAGCTCAGGCCTGGGAAGGGCGCACTAGCAGCCACCGTGCAGGGAGCGTCCCCAAGGACGCCACTGGGCAAGGGCGCGGCGCAGGCGAGCGCGTCCAGGGCACGTCTGGCCTCTGGCAGCCCGGGAAGACGGGAGGAAGGAGCTGACCCCCAGACCGCCCCCCAGAAGAATGAAGGGAAACTCCCCCTTTCTCTCTGCTTCTCTAATTGGGATCAGGGCGAACGCAGGGGGTTCACAGAGACTCAGGGAAACAGTGGCGCAGCTCGATTTTCCGCGTTTGCTTGTTCGCTTGTTTGCTTTCCGGAACCGAAAACAGGGAAGGAGCTTCTTGTGGCATCTCCCCAAACACGCAGGGGGCGAGTCGTTTCTCTGGCCTCAGGCCATCTCAGCTGGCAGGTGTGAGAAGCCTTGGCAGGTCTTGGAGGGAGGCATTCTTTCGGTCCCTTTGTCCCTTTCCCCCAGCCCGGATTCCAGAAGCCCCCTGAGGGCGGGACAGCTTTGTGCCAACTCCAGGGCACTGTCTCACCCATAAATACCTGGAACCCCTTAACAGTTACCCCAGGTCACCAGCGCAGCAGTCTGAAGCCCATTTTGCAAATTTGGAAACTGAGGCAGGGCAAACCAAGTTACCTGCCCATTGTCATCTAGCTGGTAAGTGGCAATACCAGAGACCTCAACCCCTGTCTTTGGTTCTTAACCTGGGCATTTTGCATGCATCCGGGCACCTAAGCAGTGTGACATGTACCGCTGCCTTAGCACACAGAGCCTCATTTCCTGGTACATCTGCTCGCCCAGAGGCTATCCCCGTGCTCAGGGGCACAAATGTGTCTCCAGAAATTGTGGGGTTTTTTCCCCCAAAGTCCCAGACCATGTAGGGACAGAGCAAGCAGCATAGTAGAGAGACCTAGTGAGGACCGTTGCTTAAGGCCACGCTTAGCTCACTCCATGGCTGTGTAACCTCTGGTTGGTCACTTAACCTCTCTGAGCTTCAGTGCTATTATCTGTAAAATGAGAACAATGACTCCCTCAAGGGGTCATTTTGAAGATTTTACAATTATGTATGTAGAAGGTGTTCCGGAAAGGATAGTTTTATGCCAGGATTGGTGATTGTAAGGAAGAAAGGGAACCACAAACAGTATCCTGTGCAGCTGCCTGAGGCCAATAGTGTGATCCTGGCTTTCAGACCAGCCTACCCTTTGCTCTTTCTGCCTCTTTATTTTCCCCAAGTGGCCAAAGGCGGTCTCCAGAAGGTTCTGTCTTCCACGGGGAGGAACCACACTCGGAGCAGCACGAGAGGCCGGGGGTAGGTAGCGGGGTGGGGTAGGCTGTTCCGGGTGAGTCCCAGACTGCGCCGCGAAGAGCTGTCCAAGGTACCAGCCAGGCAGTTGTGCAGGAACGTCCCCGCCGGTGGGGGTGCTGATTTCTCTGGACACGGGAGGCCCTGGAGGTCAGTTCACCTGGGGGTTGTGAACACAAGCAGGTCTGGCAGTGCCACGTTCTTGGGTATATGTCTTGTGGCATCTTACGACACGAGGACTGCGCGTGCTGCCTGTCACTCAGGTTCTGCGGATCTGGTGAGCCTTGGCATGGGGGTGAGAGCCACGGGCAACAACCTGTGCCTGTTAGACCTGGAGCTTTTTCCAGTTAGAAACCGGGGAGTGCACGGAAAGTGGATTTCGGCATTTCGGGACCATTTTCATCTGGGTTGCTTGAACAAAGGGGCGTGCACCCCATACCACAGACCAGTATGGGTTTGCGTGGTCCCCAGCACCTAGACCGCGAGGGCTGTAGACGTGACTGGTTTCCTCGTTCTGTCTAATAGCCTGCAGGGGCTGTCCGGAAAGTATCCAGCCACGCAACACCGTTCTCATTGCGTTAGCGATGGCTGGGTACTTTCCGGCCAGCCCGCGTGTGACAGAATTTAGACATCATCTAATCTGGTGAGAGCCAGACAGCTGCCCAGCAGACAGTCAGCATCACAGGCCACCATGTCACCGATTAAAAACAAAAGACGCCACATCCGACCCTACATCTACTGAGTCAGCACCCCCAGGCAAAGACTCGAGGGGTATGTATATTTTTAACAAGACTTCTCCAGGAGATTCTAATGCCTTCAGTTCTTGTCCGTCGTCCTTATTGTAAAAATGGGGAAACTGAGGCCCGGAAAAGGCATATCACATAGTATGTTACTGACAAAGCTGGGTCGGAACCTCAGTGGCTTGACTCGGCGTCACACCCAGAGATGACAACGTCGTGTTTACTTTAGTCTAGAGAAGCCCTATGGATCCTGAACCTAAAGGAAATTTAATTCCATCTCTTCGGCTTGTCATTCTAAATTAGACAAATGATTCGGAAGAGATCTTGCATGATTCCTTCTACCTAGACCTTGCTGGACATTAGCCCTGAGTTCCTATCGAATGTTGGGCATTAGCCCCATTGTTTGAGCTCTCCATCCTTTTAGAGAGAAAGAAAATTCCTTTTAAAAGGGATCTATCAGGTATAACTTCAGGAATCAAGTAATCGCAGGAGCTAGCACAACCAGTTTAACTACCATTGATTTTTGCCAGAGCCATTGCTTTGAGTGCATTTCGACGGCCAGTTCAGCTACCCACGCCACCTTCGCGAGCCTTCGCGGCCTTTTGCAAGTACGTTCATCTTGCTCACGTGCCCGTTCCTGGGGAAGAAGAATCCTGAGCAGCACCCAGCTATGCCGGAACACTGAGCCCAATCAAATCTTTTCTGTGAAAATGATGTGTCCACAGCAAGGGCCTCTAAGTCCCCAATACAAGTGTAATTAACAGGGTGCGGCGGGCACGGACCTTGGCACAATCGTATTTAGGGACAACAAGCTGAGGGCGAGCAGCAGTTGTCACGGGCAGCTCTGGGGCAGGCACATCTGGCAAATGTGTCATGGTGGGTGTTACATGGCAAGCCCGGTGCCGGGCCCCAAGAGCAGGTGCCCACATACAGGTGGCATGAGCCCCGCTCTGAGGAAGCCTGCAGTCTGACAGGGCAGTGGGCACCCAACGAGCCCTGCATGGGGGCGTGAAGTTTTGGCAAGAGAGGTGGAGGTGAGATGCTGCGGCAGTCAGTACCCAGAATGGTGGTTGAGGGTATCAGGGAAGGCATCTCGGAGGAGGTGGCATCAAAGCTGGTGGCCTGATTGGTAGCACTTCTCTCTCAGGGGGGCTCTTCAGTGCCATACTGGGCCATCGGTGGCCAAGTTGAAAGGCAGAGCACCATCTTGGGGAACATGGCTTAGCCCAGGCTCTGACACTTGTGAATTGTGTGACTTGGGATGGCACCCTCCAGCGTGTCATCCGTACAGCAGAGACTGTAACGACCGCACAGCGCTGTTAAGAGGGCTCAACGGGATAGTCTGTGTGTGACTCTAGAAAACAGAGACAGGGTCGGGCCCATCTCAGGGATCATAACAAATTTAAAGATGCAAAAAAGAGAGACCCCCCCTTTTAGTCCGCCAGTTGATGGGGTCCCAGCCCTTACCTCTCGCTCAGCCTCAGTTGTCTCACCTGTGAAATGGAGGCGTTGAAGTTCAAGGGCATCTGCATTCAGGGGCCTGCAGGCATGTTCTGTTAGGCTG